ACCCTTGAGGAGGGCAACTCTTTTATTAATTTTTGTAATTTTTCACCAAACGTTGAAAAATCACATCTCTCTCAATTTTAATCGTTTTTCACCCGTTATTTTTTCATTGTGTTCATCTTGATGTGTACTTTAATGGCATATTTTTTATTTTCATGTTTGACAAATTTTTCATCTCTTTTGACTGTGTGCAAGTTGTGTACTTTCTGTGATTGTATTGACAGATGCAGATGAATTTTTCTTTTTATACTTGTGTTTTTCCCGTAATATTTATTTGCATTCTTATTCTTAAATGTTTGTTAACATGTTAAAACTCCATTTTTGGTTGTTACCATGACCTGAGAGTGAATTTGTTGCATGTCACCCAAAGGGTGCCATACTAAACATCTAGACTGTTGGAAAGAAACTCTCCAACAACCCTTTCTCAAGTAGCTTAAGGCTCGTAGCGTACGACATCAATTAACCTTTATTACGGTATCTTAATTTTTTTGAAGATGAGAAGAGAAAGGACGCACTAAAGGGGAACTGATCCAATCCTAAAGTTGCCATGCAAATTTGATCCTATGGTTGAGGTTAGAAGGGAACTACCTAATGTTATCATCCATGGTTTGAACCCTAATGTCTGTCATAACTTCTCTTGAACAAGAGAAGTCAGAGTTCCTAGGGAAACATGGCAAAGGAAAACAACAACAAAAGAAATAACTGTAAAGAAACAACTGTAAATAAAATGCATGCAATGCACAAACAAGCAGAAGGAGCCAAGCTCAACTTCTAGAGCAAACAAGCCCAAAGGAAACACACAAAGCACAAGCAAGGGAGACATACTCAACCTTAAGCCAGCAAGCAAAGCCAATCAATAACATTCAAGCAGAGGGAGACAGACTCAACCTCTAATGCAGACAAGCAAAGGGAGCTAAACTCACCCTTTAGGATGCTCTTAGGCCTAGAAACATCTATATGAGCCTAGTCTAATGCAACACACTAAACAGTCACACAAGCAACAGTCAAGCAATCAGGAAATACAACAGACGAAAATAGCAGACAAACAGCTCAACAGCAAAGCAGATAAACAACAAAACAAACAAACAGTCTGCAAACAACTCCAAGTCTAAGCCATCTTCAAGAGAAGTCTTCATCTTCAAGCTCCACCAAGAGTGAAGAGAGGTTACATCAAGATTATTGGTTGATGATGGGAAGCAGGATGGAAACCAAAGGAATCCAACCTGGCACTCAACCATACATCTGAGATGGGCATCCTCAAAGGCTCTACCTCTTGAGGAATGCCACACATCCTTCCAAAGGAAAGATGAGGCTTCCACATATGGACCTTGAATCATAGGATAGGGATGGAATGCAAACAAAGCAATCCATGTTTATGTGAAGAAAGAGAAAGCAATTAAGCTCTTCCTAACCTTAATTGAACAAGCTTAAAGAAAGCTCCTAAAAGAAGGTCTAAACAATAAAACAAAACACCACAATCAAACAAACAGAAGCCTATACATGTCTAAAGCACCATCAAAGAAGATTAGCAAACCTATTATGAACTAAATGCCACCATTGAGGTCATTCTAAAGCAAGTGTCATGCTAGAAGCACATTAAAACTAGCCTAAGTGCTAAATCAAATTAAAATACCAAAACTACTTCTAAAATCCTATAAGATTAACCTGGATTGTAGCTTCAAATTGAGGAAGTTATGGTGCTCCTCTTGCTCCAATCTTGTGCAGATACGTCCAATGAAGTATGCTGAAGATGCTTGAAGCTTTGAATTGCCTTGAGTTGCTCTGAATCAGAAATCACAATTTTCAATTTTGCTCTTGAAACTCAACCTGCAATCTCTGGCTATGGCACGAAATGAACACCAAATAATTGATCTGAATCCATCATGGAACTTATATAGAAGATGTTTGTGGGCTTTGGAGGTCCATTGGAGGCCCAAATCAGAATATCCACATTTCAACTTTTCTCCAAAAACTCAACAATGGAATGCACGAATTCTGGCTATTTCAACCTTCTAGAAACTCACTAGTGGAAAAAAGGCTTCTTAAGTCGGTTAAAAATGACTTTTTAAGTCGGGTCCGAGCCCGACCTAAGAATTACCGACATAAGAAGTTTTGACTTCTTAAGTCGGTTGTGGACCTGACTTAAGAAACAACTTCTTAGGTCGGTTAGACAGAACCCGACTTAATAAGTCTAGCCTGCAGAAACCATTTATACCCGACCTAAGAACTTACTTCTTAAGTCAGGTATAATTAACCGACCTAAGAAGTTTTTTTTTTTTTTTGATAATCACACAAATCAAATGCAGTTTTCCCATTTAACAATTTACCCCCAAATCAGACTATCCAACTCAATCAACAAATTACACCCAAAATTATCAGAAAATTAACTCTTCTTTTCATTATCACAAAATTATGTAGAACCAATTATATTAACACAAGTATAAATTACAACCAAGTATATTACCATCACCTAACCAAACACCAAAATTAATCACATAGCAGCATGAAAATCTCCGTACAATATTTCAAATTACAAAAGATTAAACTGGTGCCTCTGTTACTGCTACAAAGAACACTGTGACTGTTACTTATTTTCCAGCTTTGGCCAGTTTCCTTATCAGAGTCTCAACAACAACATTTCCTGTGACTGTTACTTTCTTCTGTTGTGGATCAATTGCTGTAGTAAACACTCCTGAACGCAAAACCAAAAAATATGAATAAAAAACAAACAAATATATTAAACACAATACTAAGATAATGTCTGACATCGGATGCTACATTGTACATGCTAGAACACACAACCATACAGTTGTTTATGTTTTGGGCTTATAACAGTAAAATTTGAGCTCTGAATATTTTCATGCATGAGAAGTCGAAGAAATGAAGTACCATCAATGTTCTGTAAAACTTTCTTTACTTTTCTTCTACAACCTTCACAATGGATAGAAACTTTCAAGAACCATGTCTGAGAAACATGTAAGAGAAACAAACTTTAGCTTATAAAACTAAACAAAACAAAAAAAGATTTAGACAGTAGAGTTGAGGGAAGATAGTTACCTGATACTTCAATGGTTGTGAAGTGGCATCCATTAGAGAGAACTGGTGTGAGAATGAGAGGGAATTAGAAAGTTTGAAATGAGAAATGAAAGTGAGAGAATGAGAATGAGAAAATTGGAAGATGAATGGCTATGAAAGTATAATGTGACAATGACAGAAGAAGTAACACAGTGATGCTGCTTTCCTCTGCCCTCCGAAATCATTCACTCAATCTATTCTCCCATTTTTCACTTTTCTATTTTTATTTTACTCACTCAAATATTACTAATTTTTTTGTCTCTTGTAGATGTTCTAAGCTTGTGTTTCTTTATGACAAACAAATTCATTAACAGTAACTTATTGTTATGAGGTTAAAATAAAGAAGCAAGGAACAACATAGGACAAGTTAAAGAGCCAAAGTTGATAACATCTAAGCTACATCGCCGTTTAGCAGAACAAAAAGAGTGTCTTAAATATTTCTAGTTTGGAAGAAAACAACATCAATTTACCCAGTTTAGATTATTTACTGTCCTTTAAAGAAAAGACTAATCTACTTGGTTGGGCCTATGGATTTATTTATTTATTTATGAAAGGGAAATGACTGTGTAGGGCAATCTAGAGTGGAAAATTTAATATTTGATTTAATTTCATTATTTTTATTTTTATTTTTCCTAAACAGTTGAATAAGTATGTTTTACAACATCAATATATATGGTAACTTAAACGCTTTTTTTAATTAAACATAAGAGTTTCAATTGTATCTAACTTATTTTAAATAGTAAATATGATTAAAGTGGTTGATACTTGATAGTGATATTAAATATTCTTGCTTAAACGTTAACAAGACATGTCTATATTGAAAGGTAGATTGCATAGAATACAACTATGCGATAACATAGAGAGTTGAAGGTAGGTTGTATCTAGCTAACATATCACATGTGAATGGTTATGATTCCTTATATATTGTCATGTTAGATTGATCAATTGTGTAGATTTCATTCTATTCTAAGAATTGAAGGTAATATTAATCAATAAAAAAATAAAGGTGATGGAAGTTAAGAGAGTACAAACCTTGGCTTTTAACCAGTTGAAGGAGCTTCTACCTCAATTTGTTCGTCCAGATAATGAAAGACCAGAGAACACCAAAGCATTGGAGGGTGTTAATGTGCCTATCATCTCATTGTCTCAACCGCATCATATTTTAGTGACGAAAATTACTGAAGCTGCTTCTGAGTGGGGTTTCTTTGTCATCACTGACCATGGTATTTCGGCGAAACTCATCCATTTCAATGGTATACTCTTTAATCTCAGCAAGTATGTCTTCTTTCATCCGTGCCTCCATGTGTTCAACCTGCATTTTAAGTTACCATCAATTTGAAAAGATGGAATTTTCACTGTCATCATACCAGTTATAAATCAATGGACGGTGACATGAAATTTGATAATGCAAAATTCTGTGAGCAAATCAAGTTTATATTTCATATATAAACATACCTTGTAGACATGAGGCGCACCACGTATTTGTATATGATTGGAAGTTCTCTGTCCAAGAAAGAAATACATTTTAAGTATAGAGCCCTTCCCCAAAACAGAACCATTTCGGGTCTTGACAGTAGCCTCCATCACTGCATCTCCATGCTGAGACTCGTGTGATTCTCGCAACTCCTCCTAAAACTCAAATTGGCATTATTGAAGCAATTCTACATTGAATTTTGAAAAAATAATCATTTGAGTATAAAACACTTACAGGGACAGTGAAAAATCTCCCAGGTATATCAAATAACACCCATGGGTTCTGATAATTGATAAAAGAAATTATTCCTTCCGTCTGTTTCTTTGTTTTACATACATACAATGCTATTGCCTCCATCCCCATACAAGAAAAATCCACTGAGAATAACAAAGCCCTTTTAGGCCGTTGTCATGGCTGGTATAGTATTCAAGAAATCACCTAATGCTGTTACTCTCTACTCAATCCAATGAGCCTCTAACATCTTTGCCATAAATCCGTACCGGTCAGCAGCTTCATCAATCTGCAGTCAATAACTTATCAGTATAACTTACCAAGACAATAATATAACAATTCCAAATAGAAGCTCTAAAGAAAACAAAGTTATTACAATTTTCTGTGTGGGATGCCCAGCTCCATGTCCGGCGTTGCATTCAATTCGAGCAATTATAGGGTTTGTCTGAGGGCTTTTATCAAGGCTAGTGACAAGGACATGCTGCAAAGTCTGATAAATATTTGGAATACAAAGTTAAAGTTTAGCAGCTTGCAAAATATATTCTTACATTAAGGAAAACATACTAACCGCCAATAGCTTCAATGAATGCAATGGCACAACACGATCATCATGATCAGCTGTCAATAGCATTGTTGATGGATACTGAATTGACTTATTTGGATGTTGCTCCCATGGTCTCCGGACATTATGCAACGGCGAGTACCTAAAACAACATAACTTTCATATAGCATTACAATTTCATCATAACATTTAATGACAGGTTTAACCAAACTCACTTGATTATCCAATGAAATTCTTCCTCCTTGTCAGAACAGCCAAATTTTGTGGTCCAAGCATGACCTGAATATCAAAACACCAAAACAATATACAATATTACTATGACAAAATAACTAATCAGTACACATTACAAAGGGCAGATTAGAACAAACCTATAGTGAATTTGTGGAACCGTAACATGTCCATAACACCAACATGAGCCAGTGCACAACCAAAAAGATCTGGTCTGTGTTCAAAATGGGGAGACATAGTGAATACAGAAAGCCCAATGCAGGAGGCACAATACATCCAATAGAATAAGGATTTAGTTAGACCTGATTTATGCAAGCGCCAATAAGAAGTCCACCATTGCTTCCACCTTCAATGCATAACTTTTTGGATTGGGTATAACCGGCAGATACAAGGTATTCAGCTGCAGAAATGAAGTCGTCAAAGCATGTTTGCTTTTTTGAAAGGGCTCCTACTTTATGCCATTTCTCTCCGTATTCTCCACCACCACGAATATTTGCTAAGCAGAAAACAGAACCTAAATGTCTTGCAATGACAATACGACTGACATTGAAATATGGTGTAAGACTGATGTTAAAATCGCCATATCCATATAACAAACAAAGGTGTGAACCATTCAAAATTATATCCTTTCTGGCAACAATGAACATCGGTACTTTGGTTCCATCTTTACTAGGCACAAAAACCTGAAATGTGTGATCTCTTGTCAAATAATCAAACAGAAGCAAATGTAACATTTATAAAACAAACAAATTCCAAAAGACATAAATGGCCATACTCATACAAGAGTATTGATATCTCAAAGGGCCCAACTTTGAGCATGAGTGAGTTTCATTTTTTACCTGATTGACCTGAAACTCAGAGCGATCAAACCCTGGGACCTCAATCTCACAAAATATCTTCATATCAGGAATCTGTGTTCCCCCCAGGTTGCACTGATATATGATACCAGGAGTCAAAAAGCTTGAAAAGCCAATGAAAACCACACTATCTTGACGCTGTGCAGAAATTTCACTAACTGTTCCTATGTCAATTGCTATTTGATGCTGCAGGGAACCTGTCTCTAAGTCTCTTACTTGCAAAACATATTTCACATCACTCAAGTAGCTCACTATCAGCTGGTTACCGTTTACAGCAAATGCTGATTTGAGTACATCCGTCTCAGATTCTGGGATAACATCAGTCCAAGCATTTGGTTCTTTCAAATTTACCCTGACTAGTTTATATTTTGGAGCAATTATTGATGTATCTTTTCATAAAAGTAACAAACTGCTTCTTATCAAAAGCAGGTTGTTCCTGTAATCTTAAAGTGTCGACAATATCGACGACCTCAAAGGTACTTACTTTGACAACAAGTAACGACTTCAAAGGTCTAATCTCTGAAATCTTCTAACGCTGACGTAACAGCAAATTTGAGGAAAAATATGCTAGGGAAGAAGAGAAACTTAATCAAGCAACTCTGATGAGGGAACACATGGTGAGACGAACGTTATCATCACATATCTCATGTCAAGAACATTAGACCTTGCCATCAGGCATCTATTAAACAAACAGGGATCGAACCCGAAGGTCGGCTCAACACGAAGGTGAGAGGAACATTTGACCTCGCCGTCAGTCATCTGTTAAACAAACAGGCATCGAACCCAAGGCCGGCTTAACATGAAGTTGAGAGGAACATTTGACCTCGCCGTCAGGCATCTGTTAAACAAACAGGCAGCGAACCCGAAGTTCATAGAAATATCTGACCTCGCCGTAAGGCATCTGTTAAACAAAAAGGCATCGAACACGAAGTCCCGCTCAACACGAAGTTGAGAGCAACATCTGACCTCGCCGCCAGGCATTTGTTAAACAAACGGGCATCGAACCCGAAGGCCGGCTCAACCCGAAGTTGAGAAGAACATCGGACCTCGCCGTCACATATCTGTTAAACAAACAGGCATCGAAGTAGAAGGCCGACTCAACACGAAGTTGAGAGGAACATTTGATGTCCTCGCCAATCATCTGTGAAACAAATAGGCATTGAACAAGAAGGATGGCTCAACCCGAAGTTGAGAAGAACATCTGACCTCCCTGTCAGGCATCTGTTAAACAAACATGCATCAAACCCGAAGGCTGGCTCAACCCGAAGTTGAAAAGAACATCTAACCTCACCGTGAGGTATCTGTTAATTAAACAGGCATCGAACTCGAAGGCCTTCTAAACCAGTAGTTGAGAAAAACATTCGACCTAGCCGTCAAGCATCTGTTAAACAAACAGGCATCGAACCCGAAGGCTGGCACAACACGAAGTCGAGAGGAACATCTGACCTCGCCGTCAGTCATTTATTAAACAAACAGGCATCGAACCCGAAGGCCGAATCAACATGAAGTTCATAGGAATATCTGACCTCGCAGTCAAGGATCTGTTAAACAAACAGGCATCGAACACGAAAACCGGCTCAACCCGAAGTTGAGAAGAACATCTGAATTTGCTGTCAGGCATCTGTGAAACAAATATCCATCGAAATTGATGGCCAGCCCAACCCGAACTTGATAAGAAAATTATACCTCTCCGTCAGGCATCTGTTAAATAAACAGGCATCGAACCCGAATTCCGGCTCAACAAGAAGTTAAGAGGAACATTTGACCTCTCCGTCAGGCATCAATTAAACAGACAGGCATCGAACCCGAAGGGCGGCTCAACACGAAGTTGAAAAGTACATCTGTCCTCGCCGTCAGGGATCTGTTAAACAAACAGGCATCGAACCCGGAGGCCTGCTCAACCCGAAGTTGAAAAGAACATCTGACCTCACCACCAGGCATCTGTTAAACAAACAAGCATCGAACCCGAATGCCGTCTCAACCCGAAGTTGAGAAGAACATCTGACCTCGCCGTTAGGCATCTGTTAAACAAACAGGCATCGAACCCGAAGGCCGGCTTAACACGAAGTTGAGAAGTACATCTGACCTCGTTGGTAGGCATCTTTTAAATAAACAGACATCGAACCTGAAGGCCGGCTCAACACGAAGTTGAGAAATACATCTGACCTCGCTGTCAAGCATTTGTTAAAAAACAGGCATTGAACCCAAAGGTCGGCTCAACCCGAAGTTGAGAAGAACATCTGACATCGCTGTCAAGCATCTGTTAAACAAACAGGCATCGAGATTGATGGTCAGCTCATCCCGAAGTTGAGAAGAACATCTGACCTCGCTGTCAGGCATCTGTTAAACAAACAGGCATCGAACCAGAAGGTCGGCTCAACCAGAAGTTGAGAAGAACATCTGACCTCGCTGTCAGGCATTTGTTAAACAAATAAGCATCGAACCCGAAGGCCGGCTCAACACGAAGTTGAAAGGAACATCTGACCTCGCCATCAGGCATTTGTTAAACAAACAGGCATCTAACCCAAATAGCAGCTCAAACCAAAGTTGAGAAGAACATCTGACCTTGCTGTCTGGCATCTCTTAAACAAACAGGCATCTAACCCGAATGATGGCTCAACCCGAAGTTGAGAAGAAAATCTGACCACGCCGTCAGGCATCTGTTAAACAAACAGGCGTCGAACCCGAAGGCCGGCTCAACCCGAAGTTGAGAAGAACATCTGACCTCGACATCAGTCATCAGTTAAACAACCAGGCATCGAACCCGAAGACCGTCTCAACCCTTAGTTGAAAAGAACATCAGACCTCACTGTCAAGCTTATGTAAACAAACACGAATCGAACCCGAAGGCTGGCTCAACTTGAAGTTGAGAGGAACATCTGACCTCGCCATCAGGCATTTGTTAAACAAACAGGCATCGAACCTGAAGGTCGGCACAACACAAAGTTGAGAGGAATATCTGACCTCTCCGTCAGGTATCTGTTAAACAAATAGGCATCGAACCCGAAGGCGGGCTCAACACGAAATTCATAGGAATATCTGACCTTGCCGTCAGGGATCTATTAAACAAACAGGCATCGATCCCGAAGGCCGGCTCAAACCGAAGTTGTGAAGAACATCTGACCTCATTGTCAGGCATCTGTTAAACAAAAAGGCATCGAATTTGGTGGACGGCTTAACCCGAAGTTGAGAAGAACATCTGACCTCGCTGTCAGGTATCTGTTAAACAAACAGGCATCGAACCGGAATGCCGGCTCAACCCGAAGTTGAGAAGAACATCTGACCTCGCTGTCAGGCATCTGTTAAACTAACAAGAATCGAACCCGAAGGCCGACACAACCCGAAGATGAGAAAAACATCTGACCTCGCCGTCAGTCATCTGTTAAATAAATAGGCATCGAACCCGAAGACCATCTCAACCCTTACATGAAAAGAACATCTGACCTCGCCGTCATGCATCTGTTAAACAAACATGCATCAAACCCGAAGGAAGGCACAACCCGAAGTTGAGAGGAACATCTGACCTCGCCATCAGGTATCTGTTAAACAAACAGGCCTCGAACCCGAAGGCCGGCTCAACACGAAATTCATAGGAATATCTGACCTTGCTGTCAGGGATCTGTTAAATAAACCGGCATCGAATTTTTTGGTCGGCTCAACCCGAAGTTGAGAATAACATCTGACCTCGCTTTCAGGAATTAGTTAAACAACAAGGAATCGAACCCGAAGGCCGGCTTAACCCAATGTTGAGAAGAACATTTGACCTCTCCGCCAGGCATCTGTTAAACAAACAGGCATCGAACTCGAATTCCGGCTCAACCCGAAGTTGAGAAGAACATCTGACCTTGCCGTCAGGCATCTTTTAAACAAACAGGCGTCAAACCCGAAGGCCGGCTCAACCCGAAGTTGAGAAGTACATATGACCTCGCTGTCAGGAATCTATTAAATAAACAGACATCTAACCCGAAGGCCGGCTCAAAACGAAGTTGAGAAGTACATCTGACCTCACCGTCGGGCATCTGTTAAACAAACAGGCATCAAACTCGGAGGCCGGATGAACACGTAGTTGAGATGAACATCTGACCTCCCTGACAGGCATCTGTTAAACAAACAGGCATCGATCCCGAAGGCCGACTCAACACGAAGTTGAGAGGAATATTTGACCTCGCCGTCAGGCATCTATTAAACAAACAGGCATCGAACCCGATGCTCGGCTCAACACGAAGTTGAAAGGAACATATGACTTCGCTGTCAAGCATCTATTAAACCAATAGGCATCAAATCCTAAGACCGTCTCAACCCGAAGTTGAGAAGAAAATCTGAACTCGACGTCAGGCATCTGTTAAACAAATAGGCATCGAACCCGAAGGCCAACTCAAT